GACAACTGTTGCCATACTGAGGGCTGAGAATTTATTGCTGAAGACAGAAAATAACATTTCAGGAAAGAGTCTTTGGTTTTACATAGAATAAACACACAAGGACTGCAGAAATTTTACTGCCATGTTATTGTAAGATGTAAATTTGTTTAAAGCCTGGAGATCTGTTGCTTTATGTTGAAGGTTAATTCTTTAATGTACTTAAAAGTTCTTATGGAACTATGGTTTTTACAGGTTTTCCCATTGGTTTGTTTTAAGCTCGATTTCAGCAGTTTTTGAAATCAAGAAAGTTAATTTCATTTACAGCAAAGATCTCAGCTTACGTAATATTTTTACGTGTATCAGGAAAAATTAGAATTAAAACTAAGCTGATCTAATTCATTTTAAGAAGCCACCCTTCTACTTAAAAAAAAAAAAAGGGAAAAATAGGTACTGCAAAGGCAAAATAACAACTTGCTCTTGCTACAGAGCTGGCATGCAGATTTATCAAGTTTTTACTTGATTAGTCCTTTAACAGAATAAAAATACAGTCTGAATGCTTTGAGCACTCTGTTCACATGGTTATCTGAAAACAGACATTTTTCAAAATGAAATAGAGAAGTTGTACAGTTAAAGTGCAGTAAAGTTTAAAATCTGATAATTTGTGGAAAGATGTCTTAAGCTTTTATGTTTGTAGTTTAAGCAGTTGGTGGATGGCTGTCCTGGTCTAGAAAGATACAAAATGGAAGAAAAACCAAACTATGGCAGGCATTGCTGTTAGTCTTAAAAATAACCTTTGAAGGTTTCAGGTTTTCTAGGATTATTTGAAGTATTCAAATGTTTGCAATGATCTCTCTGCATATTAGCATCTTATATGAGGATGAGAGCTCTCATGGTAGGGCTGAAAAGCGAAATGGGAAGCAGGCCACCACTAGAAACCCACTCTTTGCATAGTGAATGTTAACGTTCCATTGCCCTTCTTTTATTTTTATTTGTGACTGCAGCAGTGAAGGCCACTGGTTGTAACCTGGAGAAGGTAAACATTCTTCCTAGTGCCTTGATAACTCCACTCATGCCAAGCAGTATGATTAAGAATGAAGATGTGGCTCCAATGGAAGTAAGTGCAGAAAAAAGATCTCCCCCTGTCTTCAAGGTAAGTTTGATTGTGATCTGAAGACAGTAGCTTTAATAGTCTTAGCTACGTCTACCCATCAGTCCATGTTCTAAAAGTGGAGAAGAGTAACACGCAGGGAAAATGTCATGTCCGAGATCGGTTTGGGCAAAACATACGATCACAGATCGTGATTAAAATAATAGACAATTTCCTTTGAAAGTAGCTTAACTTGTTCCTGCATGCAAACAGATTGATTGGTTAGTGATACTATGATGATTTTTTTTTTCTTTTGTCCTGTGACACAGAACTAGTAAATCACTGTAGGAATACTATTTTAATCACTTCCTAGCATTGCTTTCATTAAATTGTACCTTGACTCCTTCCTTGAAGTAGCATTTCCACTGCTAGTTGTTCACTTACTTGTTTGGTTACATAGCCATCAAATCTTCCATCTGATCTTTCCCAAACATAGTGGATTGGTGGAAATTTTGTAAGCATAACCTGAGTAAGCTTACAAATTGCTTAATGTATTGCTCTTTTCAGGCTTCAAATGTGGTTGGACCAACTCAACAAACATTGGAAAACAGTATGTCTGGCATATCAACTTCTGCTTCCCATTTACCTTCTGAAAATGAAAACCAGCAACAAATACAGCCGAAGGTGTATAATCCAGAGACACTAACTACTATCCAAACGCAGGACATTTCCCAGCCTGGTAGCTTTTCAGCAGTCTCTACTCCGGGTCAGCTGCAGAACAGTGATGCGTTATTGCAGCAAGCTGCACAGTTCCAAACAAGAGATTCCCAAACGAGGGAAGTCTTGCAGTCAGATGGCACAGTAGTCACTTTGTCACAATTAACTGATGCATCACAACAACAACAGTCTACACTCTCGGAACCAGCACAGGCATTGCAGCAGCAGATTTCATCAAGTATTTTCTCATCAGCAAGCGGCGTGAGTCAGTTACAGAACACTATACAGCAACTGCAAGCTGGAAATTTTCCAACTAACACTGCCACTGGCAGCAATAGAAACGTTGACTTGGTGCAACAGGTATTGGAAGCTCAACAGCAGTTATCCTCTGTTTTATTTTCTGGTTCAGACAGCAGTGAGGATGTTCAAGATCAGCTGAATGCAGATATCTTTCAGCAAGTTAGCCAGATACAAAATAGTGTCAATTCTGGAATATTTTCCTCATCAGACACAGCTGTCCATTCCAGACCAGACAACCTTTTGCCTGGACGAGCTGAAAATGTTCACTCACAGCCTGAAAATGCATTGTCCAATCAACAGCAACAACAGCAGCAGCAGCAGCAGCAGGCAATGGAGACTTCTGCAGCAATGGTGATAGGAATCCAACAAAACATTTGCCAAGCTGCAACACAGATGCAGTCTGATTTGTTCTCTTCAACAACTTCAGGGAATGGAGCCCTCCAACAGTCACCTGTTTACCAGCAGGCTTCTCACATAATGAGTGGGTTATCAACAAGCGAAGACATGCAAATGCAGTGTGAATTATTCTCTTCATCTCCTGGTGTTTCTGGAAGTGAGACTACTCCTACTGCTCAGCAGCAGGTCTCCAACAATGGACCTACTATGTTTCAGGCATCAAATTCTGCAGATGGAGAAGAAGCTTCAGGTCAGAGTAAGCAGATGCAAAGTACTGTATTTCAGACCATGGTTCAAATGCAGCATAGTGGAGAAAGTCAATCTCAAGTTAATCTCTTTTCATCTACCAAAAACATGATGACTGTTCAGGCAAGTGGAACTCAACAACAAGGAGGTGGTCTGTTCCAGCAAGGCGGAGAAATCATGTCTATTCAGTCAGGAAGCTTTATGCAGCAGTCTCCACATTCACAAGCTCAGCTTTTTCACTCTCAGAATACTATTGGTGATGCTCAAAATATATCGCAGGAAGCACAAGGCTCTATTTTTCACAGTCCAAATTCCATTGTCCACAACCAGACCAGTACTAATTCCTCAGACCAACTGCAGCCTCCAATGTTCCACTCGCAGAACACCATGGGTGTATTACAGAGCCCTTCAGTTCCTCAAGACCAGCAGTCTGCCAACATGTTCCTTTCCCAGAGTTCAATGAGCAACGCTGCAACTCAGGAAGAACAGATGTCATTCTTTACAAACCCAAATTCCATTTCTCCTCTTCAGACAGCAACAAACACCGAACAGCAGACTTCTTTCCAGCAGCAGACACAGATATCTCATATCCAGAGTTCCATGCTTCCCCAAGAACAGCCCCAGACTCAGCCTGCTCAACAAGGTTTGTTTCAGTCTCAAGTGTCGTTAGGTTCCATCCAGTCCAGTTCAATTCCTCAGAACCAGCAAGGAGCTATCTTCCAGCCTCAGCATTCGATAGTTGCTATTCAGAGTAGTCCTCCATCTCAAGAACAGCAGCAGCAGCAACAACAGAACATGATGTTCAGTAATCAAAATGCAATGAGTACAATTGCTTCTCAAAAGCAGAACATGATTTTCAATCCAAATCAAAACCCAGTTACCAATCAGGAGCAACAAGGCCAGTCCATTTTTCATCCACAGACTAACATGGCATCAATGAACCAGGAGCAGCAGCCCATGCAATTCCAGAGTCAGACTACAGTGTCTTCTCTTCAGAATCCTGGATCCAACCAGGCTGAAGCACAGCAGCCAGCCATCTTCCATAACTCACCCCAGATTCAGTTGGTCCAAGGGTCACCAAGTTCTCAAGAGCAACAAGTCACCCTCTTCATCTCTTCAGCTTCCATGTCTGCCTTGCAGAATAGTATGAGCCAGCAAGAGCTGCAGCAGTCTCCTATGTACTCTTCTCAAAACAGCATGGAAGGAGAACTGCTTCTCCTCCACAGCAACAAGCTTCTTTATTTCACAACACAGCAGGAGGTGCTATCAACCAGCTGCAGAATTCTCCTGCTTCATCTCAGCAAACATCAGGAATATTCCTGTTTGGCATTCAAAACAGTAAGTGGTAGATGCCTGATTCTGAGGTTACAATTTAGAAGAGCTACTAATTGGAGTCCACAAGACAATGATTATTCAATTCTAAGATATTTCCATACCAAAAAAAGAAAATCCTGAAATAAGTAACGTATGTACATTCTCAACTGTAGTGCTACTCATCGTGTTGCTCTGAATGTACACTTATGTTGCTGATTTTGCATGAGAAGCCTTAGCTTAAATACTTTTTGGTCGTCTTACACTTAGGATTAACATGTGACAAAACCATCTTAGAATTGTGTGTATATTTATATGGAAATATTATATATAATATTATTAACACGTATACAAATAGTAGATAAAATACATGTACACACGTTTAAAAAAAAGAAAAAAGTTACACCCTCTTAAGACAGCTCCCCTAATCTTTCTCTTGCTGCATTTGATTTCCACAATTTATGCAATGACTTTCTCCACACATTATTGAAAGGAAGGATTTTTTAAGCTGTGTAGTCCAGAGAAGTGTCTGTTGAAGTGTATTTGAAACTCCTTTAACTTCATAAGCTGGCACTTTTCCATACCTCATCTCTGAATCTAGCCTCTATGACGAGTTCTTTGGGACGTAGATCCTTTAATCTGTCTGTAAAGGGCTGCACATACCTGTGAAGCTCCAGAAGTAGCAGATGCAGATGATGGTTATAGCATCTTATAAAAGATCTGGACAGAAAGCCACAGCTGTGTTCTTAGTCTGTGGTTATACCTGAATATGTGCTTTGCTGTATGAACTCTTTGACAATCAGGCCATGTACAGCCAAGCCTTTCCGTGAAGGTGGAGATAATGCTAGAAGTGGTAGGAGATGTGACACCATTTGCAGATTTATAGGAGGAGCTCGCGGATACCTTGGCTGAACTGAAGAAGACACATCTGTAATTAATAAAGACAAAGGATGGGCATACTCAACACTTATGCCATGCATTTTGTTCTAGCTAAGTATTGTCCTCTGTTTGGGGTGTTAGTAGTGTTTGGTCATAATACAGAGTTCATATATTCAATGGGTACACCTTGAACTTGTGCTTATACCCTGAGGGAGTGGTGAGCAAAGGTGGTCATGTGAACAAGAGTGCAGGTAACTTTCTACACAGTTTATAGTCAATATGGCTATATATATAAAAAGTTGGCTAATTCACTGCATGTATTAACCTAATTTAAATGGTCCTTTGTTCTTCGCTTACTGCTTAACAGACTGTGGGCAGCTGCTAACTTCTGGACCAGCCACGTTGCCGGATGAGTTGATGGCTATAAGTCAGCCAGGTCAGCCACAGAGCGAGGGACAAGCAGCAGTGCCAACGCTGCTCTCCCAGCAGATATCTGAGACTTCTCCGCTACCTTCAGCTATGGCAACCAATCAGAATATTGAGAAAATAGATGATCTGCTTGTGTCATTGCAAAACCAGGGGAACAATATGACTGGCTCGTTTTAATTAGTCAAGTAAGTAATGCGTTTGGGGTTTCTGGGTTCTTTCCTGCCACGCATACTCTTGTTCAGTAAGTCTTTACTTTGGCGTGTATCACTGTGCTCTAAGAGATCAGCTAAAATACCAGTACTGCTGAATTAAGAATATAATACCAGTGGCTAGAATGAACGAGTTATTAAAAACAGTCAGAGGTCAGAATTTCTATGAAACGGTTGAGACTGGGTCTTGTCATTCAATTGCTGTATGTTTTGTCATCTGCTGTTACAGTCCAGTACTTTATTAGGAAGGAGAGTAGATCACTGACAGCTTGGCAGATAAAACCGTTATGAAACATGACTGTAGTTAAAAACTTAAGGCTTATTGAGTAAATAACACCTCAAGCCTGTACTATTCTGAAGTTGCCCCCTGGGTTACAATAACGTAATGTGAAAACAAGTTTCAGTAGAATGTGGCAGCTATTGAGAGTGTGCCACATGCTGAGTCTTTGTTAGAAGTGAGCTGTCACAATCAGCTGTTACTAGGAAACGTTCTGCACTTAGAAGGTGCCTTTTTTTAGAGAGGTGGAAGAGGCTTTGACTACAAATGAGTAGCAAGAACCAGGAGGACTCTGGAATCTAGTATTGTCCACAGGGTGTAACTTGGCTCTAGTTAACTGTGGTGCCATCCTAAATCCCCCCTACGTTTCACATAAGTGATACACTTCATTTTCTAATCTAAACTGTTTTGTATATGAAGTTATGAACTTAAAAAAAAAAACAAAACAGTGGGAGGAGAGTAATCCTGCTCTATGAAAGAATGCTGCATTCTGACACTCGCTCATAGTTTCATGTCTGACTGTGAAGGACACTTTCAAGATGAAGGAACTACATAGAAGTAAGATGACGACTTTTTTTAATAATGCCTAACTTTTATTGCTTGCTTGTTTTTTCCTGCAGAAATTCTGTGAAGAAAAAAGTGAGGATTTCCCAGATCCTCTCAGACCTTCCGACTCTGGATTAGGCTGTGTGGACCTGATTGCTTCTGTCAAAAAGTGGCCCTCTTCTCTAAAGAGCACACACGTGGCCAATTGCAACGTCTAGCACCTAAGGCTATGACCATAGTATTTGGGATTTGTAGTGCCAATAATGCTGAAAAGCTATGCTTTGTTTTACTAGGGCATGGGATTGTACTGTTACTAGATTCCTAAACCTCATTAACAGTGGGGTGCTCTTCCAATTTAAAGCATATCTGGTCAGTTATTATTGTTGTTAGAAGGTAATACATTACCACGTTTACTTTTTTCTTCCTCCTCTTCCTTCTTCACATCCCCTCTTTTGACTAGAAAAGCTTGTGAAGCAGAAACATCAAATGCCTGTGACATGAGCCATGACTCATAGCTGTCAGTAAGCGAAGGGATCACATGTTTTACAGCTGAGTGGGAGAGCTAATACTGCGATTTGTTAATTGCAGTAGGTGGCAATGAAAAATATTGATAACTAATAAACAAGCAGAGAATTGCTTGCTACTGTAGATAGCCAGAGGTGGGTGCTTCCCATCTGAGAATGTGATTAACGGTTTTCTATGTCTCTTACATGTAACTGTACATAGCGCGAGGGTTTGGTGGCTCTAACAAAATGAAGAAATGAAGGGGAACTTTCAATTAAATTTTGCTTTTAAAATCTTATCCTCTAAAATACCTTCAGATAGAAAGGAACATTCTGCCTGGCCGAGGAAAGAACTCCTCTGTGTCTCTCACTCTGACTGTATGGGTTAGAACTCGGTAAAGCTGCGTTATCCATTCTCAGACCAGCCTTCTCCCTTTCATTCTTCTCATGATTTTCCTTCTCTCTCCCTCAGTTTCATATAGCGTTTTTAAAAAAAGACATAAATATCTTACTGGCTTTAAAGATCAGAAGCAGCTTTTAGGAATCCATGGCATTGAATTGCTTAGTCAGGAGAAGCTTTGACAAATAATCAAGGATTAAGGAAAGAGGAAGCAATTTCTCCACCACCTTCTCAATGCAGGAATCCCCCTTAACCAGTCATTTTCCAGCTGTTACTGATGTAAATCTCCAGCTTGACTTTATTCCAAGTAGGGGGCAAATTACATCATTTTTAAGCATTCTTGAAAATTTCACTTCATCCTGAGCTGTTGCATCTTTGTGGCGTATTGAGCTCATCGCAGTTTTGAAGTGATTTCTTTTTTTTTATAACCAACAGTCCCCAAGTCTAGTTTCTAGATTGTCATGTCTCAATTTAAAAAAAAAATAAAAATAAAAAAAAAATTGACTGATGTTACGGAATGTAAAAACAACCCACTCCAGACCATGCAGTTGTATTGTGAGGCATGTGAATTTTTTGGGTGCTCCAACTATCCGGACAGTTTTGTGATATCTCACTACAGCCTCATTCAGATATTTGTTTCTTCTTCTGCACGTAGAAAGCTGTTGCTGCAGTTAGAGCCAAACAGCTGTCATGTATGGCTATTATGCCTTGGTAGAGTGTAGTTGGTCTCATGTCATTTTTCACTTTTGTTATTTTAAATAACAAAGAATAGTCTGTAAATGGTTTTTAAGTTACTCTAGTCTGTTTACTGTGTGTTTTTCCCTTAACTTGTGTGCTTAGTTGAGCCGTGTAGAGTTTTTGTTTGTTTTAATGGTTTTTCCTGTTTGTCAGTCTGTCATAACGTTCACTTTCTCTTTCTGTCTCTCTCTTTCTCTCTCTCATTGAGAGGCATTGAATTACGTTTTCAGTAGTAAGGCTTCTTGCCGATATGAAGGGAACTTTTCAGAAAGAGACCTGCTCTGGGTCATTTAATTTTGAATACAGTTTTCAATCGTTCAAGTTTTGGATGGTTTATATCTAATGTGTGTTTCATTTTTTTGGAAAGCTATATTTTGTATTTAGGAAATGGTATACTATTTTGCTATTTGTACTGAGTGAGTACATTGGCATAAATATAAAAATTTATATATATACATATATATAAAATATTCTTTTTGCCACACATTTTTGTGGTAAATTTGTGAGTTTGTCTGATGTTCTACCACAACGTGGCGTCTGATAACAGTGGGGTGGGGTGGGGTTTGTTATGTCTTTATTGAGTATTTAAGTACTTTTTGCAACATAAATAACTTGTTCATCTCTCTGCCATTCCATCAGGCAATTTATTGTTCCAGCTGGCTATGAGAAGCTTCACTGTGTGTTTTGATGTGTCTGTCACTCAGCAATACGATCTAGTAAGGAAACCCGTAGGCATTTAGGCGTATATAAAGCAATGGGGTTTCATTCAGAATGAGCCATTCAGCTTTTATCCACTATCATTGTCTATTTAATATTTTATTATTAGCGCCTCTGTGTTTTAACTCTTAATTTATGATTATGCTAAACTGTTTAAAATTTTAATCATGATAAAAAGAATTCCCTGCTTCATAATGTCCAGAGCTGCTTTATAACCCTGAACCATACTTTTTCTTTCTGTGATTTCCCCCCCCCTGCTAAGACAAGATACTAACAAAATCCTGTTATGGTTCATGACATGAAAACAGCAATCTTTTAGCATTGATTAAATGCTATATGAGGCTATGTAGAAGACTGAGAATTATGGACCGAAACAACTTCCAGATGGTCGTGGAAGTCGATAGCCAGTTATTAAAAAATGAACTGGTGGCTTTTGCAGGATCGCAGTCCCAGGACAAGCTGTTGGGTGTCATCTGGGGCCTTCATACACAGAAGTAATAGGAATGATAAATTCATTTGTGTGCTGCTTCAATTTGTTGCGTTGTTCCAAAGGGGTGTATCCTTACGTTGAAGTGCTGTTGGTCAGTGCCAAGTCACCAGGGACCAATTCTCCACTTAACAAGATGGGTGTCCAAAAGAGAACTTCATACCAAGACTGCTACAGCTCTAGGGGAAGGGCATGTTTGAATTGTGTGCGTATTTTAGGTCGCTTGTGAAGAGAAGAGAAAAAAAAAATGTAAAAAAAGAAATTAAAAAAAAAAAGGGCTGTGCTATCACATTTTTCACTTCTGGGTAACACCTTTCTTGTGTTAAACTTACCTTGTTCATTTTAGGTCAATGTTTAAATGTACAACACTTTGAACATGTGATTTGGTTACAAAAAGTATTTGTCTTATGAATGAAGAGATTGCTCAGTGGTTGATTAGTGTTTGAACTGCTGCTTGCAAACACAGAGGATAAAGAGAGGTTTGATAAACCAATAAAGAGCTTAAAGACAGGCTGCAGGATTTCATGGCAGAAAGACCCAAGAGCGGTGTGAGCCACATCTGTATTTTACCAGAGTCCTGAACATTTACTTTTGCAATTTAAGCAGTTGATACTGATAATTGGAGCTTACTCTGCTTTTTTTTTTTCTTATCCCTGTATGTACTCCTCTGCATGCTCGCACTGGCATGCCTGTTAGCTATCAGCAGACGGAGTGCTTGCCTGCAGAGATGAGGTGGTGGTATCACGTCTAGTCTGTGTTGGCTGAGAAAGTTAGAAGATGCTGAGACATTAGTCTCTATAAATTTAAAGGTCCTGACATTATGATAAAGGGGAAGTTACTATCATATCCACAAAGCGGCAAATAAATATAGACGATATTACTAAGTGAAAAATGAAAAACTGCAGAGCTGCATTGCTGGGATGGGTTTTCTGTATCTTGTTTTTTTCTGCTGATTGAGCTCGTTCCTAAAGAACCGTTAAATCTGATCCTCCCTATGAAATGTGGGCTGTACTCTCCAGCTGTATATGCCTCTGCAGCACCCATGGTCCGCTCTCTGCACAGCATCCGTGGTACGTGGTGGTTTACGGAACGGCGATTTCTTGGCACAGATTAAAATCCAGGGAGACGTACCTGCTAGCCACCTGTTGCGACTTCTGCATACGTCCTCTCGTCTGCTTATACGCTCTGTGTGTGTATATAAAAAAATCATATGAATAACGCATAATACTCAGTTATTAGCTAAACATCTCCTCTGGTAGGAAGTTATTGGTGCTTTGTGCTTAATTAGCAAGACCTCGTTTTGTTACTAATTGCCTCTTCACTGTCTGATCTTTCAGCAGTTATTCAAGCCAAATGCTTTGCTATTATTTTAACATGAAAATAGTTCAAGAAATAATTTCAGCCTTGCTGTTTCAAAGTGGATGTTTAATCACCAACCATTTTATTATAATTACTTTTAATTACTGACAGGGTGGTTACTTCCTATTTAGTTTTAAGATAGAATAAAGCATGAACAGTTAAGCGTTTATTACTTTGGCAGGTTTTTTTACTGGAAATACTAAGAGTCTGGGCAGCTGTATCAGTGGACATTCCCCTAATTTAGATAAGTTGAACTTCTTTTTTTAAAGCTTCTGTCGTGATTTTGATTTAGGATGTAGTTTCTAAAAAGAAAACTTGTCTGAATAGATTTTCTGTTATCTTCTTATCTTTCCAGAGTCCTCAGAAAGAACACCAAACAAGTCAGAAGCTCGCATTTGTCTTAAAACATAGTTTAAATCACTACTTGAGTAGCAGGAAAGGTGATTTATTAAAAAGCAAAATAAAAAAAGTTGTTATTGGACTAAAGCTACACGTAATTTCCCCCAAGGGTGGGTGTGTGCGTGTGCAGGCATGCACGTGCACATTCGTAAAAAGTTAGAAAAGAATTTTCAGTTTTTGAATCTCATGCCTCTGCATGGCAAAGTGCTGCGTTCCTTTTTCAGGGTAATTACAGGAGAGGAGTACAAGGGATTACGGGCATTTATCGGAGTGATAGAGCAAGAACAAGGAGAATGAATTGCTTTGCATGCTCTGAGCTATGAGTTGTAGGTGGAAGGTGAGAAGAAGAAATACTGATCACTGGTGACTTCTCATTAGTGCAAAATTTATTTTCAAGGAATAGGTGGTTTTTTGTGTTCCAGAGGGCCTGGTGGCAGCTCCGTTATTTTAGAAACTAAAAGGAAACCGGTACTGAGATGCTTGCTTTGTTTGGGGTTTTTGTCTTGATTTGGAGTAGTCCTTTGGGATAGATTGTGAGCACTTCACGTTCGCACTCAGACCAATTATGCCGGTCGCGTATGACGGTAGTCACCTGCGCCTGCAAACAGAGGCGCGCCTGTCTGCCCGCTGCAGGCTGAGAATCGAGGATGGAGGATCCCTGTTGGAAACGTGATAAATGTTATCTAGATACGAGGAAAAATGCAGCAGCAGGTAAACTCCTGTAAAAGTGTACTCGTGAAATTCTCTAGTTGTGTGTGGGGCTCTGAGGAGTTACGCAGGAGGAGAGGCTTTTCCTTTCTTATCATCTGTATAGGTATGTACATACGCAATGCCTGTATATTCTAGGGTTATATATATGTATATAGAGGAATCATATATCTATTATATATAAATAATTAGTAGACACTCGCATATAATACTGTTACATTTACATTTTTATAAACCTGAAATAATATTACTTTTCCGTAGTGTGAGGTTATTTACCAAGGTTTTTGTAGTAACTCATTAATAGCTGTACGAACACCTTTCAGTACTGTACATGTGGCGCTGTTGGTAATGTCGCTCCAGAAACTTGCTCTGCTTGTGAACGTCACTAATACCCGTGGGTTTAAAACAGCTGTACACTTTTTGTATTTTTATATCTTTTTATTAATAATTGCAGATGCGTTAGCAAAACAGTAGAACTGACAGCCTTGGTCGAGAGCCTGCCCAGTGGCTGGGCTCGGGAAACGCAGCAGCACAGGCTTTCTGCATCCACGTGCTCCCCTGCCACCTTCCCTCCGGTGACCCCTGACTTCGGGACCTTTTCCGTTCGCAGTCTCCCAGCGCTCGTGCAGATAGGGAATGGGGGTGGTCGTGTTGCTCCGGAGGAGCTGGACGGACACCAGCCGCTCTCTCCCGGCGGGGGGTTATTAATCGTTCTCGCGTAGCAAAGGGTCCCGGCTGCTGCTCAGCTGGGTTGGTTTGGATCGGGAAGGTGAAGCCCAATCTGTTGTTCCTCTAGTCTGATAAAGGCAGGCATCTTTAGTTTTCTGTTCTTTTTTTTTTTTAACTGACTTTGTACTGCAACAGTCACTATCTAGAGAACTCTCCCCCTGAAAGCTGGTGAAAGCTCTCCTTGGTTTCTAGCCGTGAGGAACCCTGCCCCGACTTGTACCGATTTCTTACAGATTGCGTGAGAAATTAAACTCTAAAAGAAATCCAGATTGTAAAACCAATGGCGTGTATGTTGTCCACCACGACTCTTCATGCCAAAATCAGGTGTGTTCCACTCCAGCGTGGCATGAGGTTGATCGATAGACATTATTGTCCTGGTACAGGCTTTATCAAAGCACCTCTGCCAAAGCAAACGTCCTTATGTCTTCTCTTTGAGCCATCGGTTTGCAGGTCTGGTCTCCGCTGCTTCTGGAGACGGAGAGCTGCTGTAACTTTTGCTGTTACAGTTCATGAAATTGCCTCATAACATCCAAGTGTACTGGGCCGGGGGTGAGGAATCCGAGGATTTCCCTGCGTGCTGTGGGAGGCTCACTGACGCTCTTGCGAGTGCTTGGTTCAGACTCCAGAACTCCCGACACCCAGCAGCAGCCCATGGGAAAATATTCCAGCTGTGGGAATATAATAGTCCAGGATTCAGATTAGCGAAGGGTCCTGTGTTCAGATCACGCAAACGGCCTTCGCTACTTCCGAGTCCCTGGAACTGCCCCTCTGAGTCGGGGAAGGTCCGGCCCGAGTGTCCCTCGTGCAGGTGGGTCCCCACGCAGGAGCGCGGCTGTCCCGGAGGTCGGGGTAACGGCGCTCGGGGGGAAGCTCCCTTTTGAAAGGAGAGAGTGTGGCACTCCTGGGTGTCGCAGAACTGGGAACGCGTTCCAGTATCCTGCTTGGTAGACCACAGTATCCCTGAAGTTTTTTTTATTCTGGAGACTATTTGAAATGAGGTGATTTGAAATACTTACATTTGAGCTCATTATTAATGAGTAAGCTCCAAAAACCTTCAGAGCAGAGCTTTCTACCTCTGTTACTAGCTGCATCTTTGAGTGGTTTGCCCGCCTTTCTGCCATGTGTTCCTGGCGCGCACTGATCGACCGCTGAGCTGCCTCTTCCACTGTCCTGCAATGTGAAAGTAGCACCAGATATTCCTTTGTGCATTTCTGTGTATATGGCTTTCGTAGTTGGGATTTTCAAAGCACTGATACCCGGTGTTTTCAGTTTGTTCTATGAGGGGATATTTCATTTGCATCTATGTTTTTAGCTATCCTGTGATAACTTGTTGAATATTAAAAAATAAAAATATTTTGCTTCTATTGGGACATTTGTATACTCGCAACTATATTTCTGTAAACAGCTGCAGTCAAGAATAAAACAATGAAAGTTTTCATTTTGCAGTGTAAAGTCTTGCTGTGTTTTTTTCAAGGGCATCTTCTCTCTGCTGGGAGGAGGCGTCCGTTCCTCAGTACGGAATCAACCCATCTGGGAACCATAGGGCGCTCGGGTCAGGAAATACTGGGAAGGCAGGAGCCTGCGGTGTGTCCCGCTGGAGTTCTTGCATGAGAACGGGCACTGTGTCGTGTGTGCACTTCTAAAAAAATATTGTGACGTTTCTTGCTGATTTTTGTGGTGTTAAGTCCAAAGTAACCATCTATACTGCCCAAACCCCCGGCTGCAAATTACAGAGCGTTCAAAGAAATCGTTTCCGTAGTCCACCCGGAGCAGGGCTCTGTCTCTGAGGGACCCGAGGGGAGATGAGAGGGCTCCCCTGGGATGGTCTGGGGGCTGTTCTGGCCGAGGGAGGCGATGCCAGAGGTGCCAAGCGCAGATGACTGGAATTCACTGCCTCTCCAGAAGTAGCACAGTCCCACTTTATCCGCATATTTGGTGTATGATGCTAAAAATGATCTGGGGGTTGCTGAGGCTCAGGTGCGTGTTCCCCTTCCTGCTGCAGGGATGTAACCTCCGGCGGGACCACGGGGCCAGCAGCCAGGATCAGCAGTTTTGTAATTTTGGAAAAATTACAACAGGGGTAAGAAGAAACACCGCAGTTACTCCGGGAGCTGGGCAGGATGCTTCATTGTGAAAGGTTTAAGCAGACTGATCTGAAAGGCTTTCCCCCGGTGCCGCTCCCTTCAGCCATGTGCCTGCTGCCGGGGTTGGATGTGGCCGTGCTGCAGAGGGGGGGCAAACGCAACCGGCTTTTGCCCCCCCTGGAGCTGCCAGCCCTGCTGCAGCCGTTCGCTATCCACCCCCCTCGTCAGTGGCGCTGTGGTGCCATGGGACAAAAGAAAACACCCCAAGAAGCCCTCCCTCGGCCTCCTCTTCCTCTTGAGGCTCAGAGAAAGGCACCCCCCGGCCCGTGAGCCTGGCGCAGGCAACCACAGAAACACGACTGAGCCACGGTGCTGTGGGTTTTTGTGTTTATTAGCAACGCAGCCATTGCCCGGGGCTGAGCAGGGAAGCCACCACCTTGCCCGGCTCCCCCCGTTCTGGCAGGCCACCCCGGGGTCCAGCCTCCCCAAACCCAGTGACGATCACCCCCAGTCACTGGCCACTCTTCAGGCACCAGAAAAGCGTGGAAGGAAAGGCTCGGCCCCTGCCCAGGGCGGCTGCCTTTGGAAGGGTGCTGGGAGAGGCCTCACCTTCCCGGAGCCATCCGGCGTTGGGCAGCACCGTGCAAGGCCCAGGCAGATGGTCCCTCGCAGCACCAGCTGCAGAGGGCCCTGTCCCGCCCTTCACCTCCTCTTCACAAACTTCTTTGTCACGGCATTGGGGTTCAGGCGCCTCCTGCCAGCGCCCAGGGCCGCGTCCCGGATTTGCAGATTGGCCGCGCGGCTGTAGACGTCGTTTTCCGCAAAGGGCGAGACCCCGGCGACGTAGTCGGGGTCGAAGACGTTGGTCTTCTGCCTGGCCTTGCGGGACAGCCGCTGCTGCGGGAAGGGCTGGTCTTCCACCAGGTGAGGGTTGTTCGCGTGCTTCCCTCCTTTCGGGGCCGGCAGCGGGTACTGCCGAGAGAAAAGCAGTCATTAAACTCGCTTCAGGGGCAACTCTTACTCAAAGGGACTTGAAGATGACTGCAGGCCTCTAGGGAAGAACTGAGCAAACAAAGCCCGAAAGCCTCGGGGTCAAGTGGAACGTCTGGAGGTCGATCACAGCTTCGCTTCGATTCCTGCCGGCCAACGGTTCCCTCCAACCCACCGGCCACAGGCCAGGCCCTTGTCCCGGCAGCAGCCGCCCAGCACGCGACGTACAGCTACTCACCCTGAGCCCTCGGGGGTTCAGCACCTTGGGGTTGCGGGAGAAATGCATGTGGAGGCTGCCGTCATCGCTGACGCTCACTGCGACCTTCTTCAGGGTCTTGTTACCGCAGTGGGGACAGAAAACCTTGGTCATGTCCGAAGTGGTCCTGCAAGACAGGGACAGAGAGGGTTTACTGCTCCCTGGGCCGTGGAGTACAGGCTTAGCCCACGAGCAGGACCATCCACCCAGCCCCAGCAAGCACCACACGCCCGTGCCGAGGGCAGCGCCGCTCTGCGCACACGCACGCACTTGAAGCAGCCGTGGCAGCGGAGGATGTAGCTCCTGGCCTGGCGGATCAGCATGCCGTTCACAGCCAGCACGTGGAGGCCCATCTGCAGCAGCACGTTCTGCAACGAGGAGGGAGAAACCGGGATGCCGTGAGCCGGGACTGCCAGGAGCTTTAACCGGGGTTTGCCAGCCCAGGCAGCGAGAGGCTGACGGAAGCGATGCCAGCGGGCTTTGCGGAGGCCTCTGCAGCGGAGAGAACTGACCGCTTTTAAGGTAAAAGGACCTGTCGCAAAGCTGCTCTCATCCTGTCCAGGGGACTCGGCAATGCGCTCCTCTGTCTCGGTGTGCTGGTTTAACCAGCCCGGAGGTTTGAGTAATTTGAGCATCTGCCCTCAGCCCACCCCGCCAGCCCGCCGTGCTCCCGAGGCTGGAGCCGGTCCCGTGCAGGGCAGGAGCCAGCACCCACCTGCATGGCAAAGTCAGTGGTGACGCAGCCGACCTGGACGCCGACAGGAGCAGTGTCACAGTGCCCCGTGTCCTGCTGGACCTGCTTGAGGTTGCTGGGTGTTATCCAACCCTCGTCATCGCTCTCCTCCTCGTCCTCCTCTTCCTCAGCGCTGGCCCCGTCCTCAGAGCTCCGGCGCTCCTCAGTGGTCTCTGGGCTAACGGAGACGGCCTGAGCTTTCTGGGGTGGAGAAGACGGTCAGCTATAGCACACGCCACGCTCCCGGTCAGAAACCAGGGTAGCAAGGACAGCGAGGAGAGGAGGCTCTGGGTCTCACCAGCAGCTCCTGCAGCTCCTCCTCGATGCTGGGCAGGGGGGCTCGCCAGTAGAGGAAGGAGCTGAACTCATCGCTCTCAGATGGGACCGCATTCCTCTCGGGGCTGGGCTGACGCTGGCCTTTCCCCGGGTGCTTGTGCTGTGGGGGGACACGGGACAGGGGGTCCCTCACCTGCCGCTGCCCGGGGGCTCTGCGGGGCTGCATCCCCGTCCCCGTGGCCTGGAGGGCCCTGTCCCCAGCGCCCTGCCTCGGAGCG